CATCATTATTTGTATGGTGTTCATGTTGATGTATTCACTGATCACAAGAGTCTTCAATATGTGCTCACTAAAAAAGAGCTTAATATAAGACAGATGAGGTGGTTAGAATTACTCAAACATTATGACATGAGTATTATTTACCACCCAGGTAAGGCTAATGTTGTTGTTGATGCCTTAAGCAGGTTGTCTATGGGTAGTACCGCCTATGTTGAGGAAGAAAAGAGAGAGTTAGCAAAAGATGTGCATAAACTTGCACGCCTGGGAGTCAGACTTATAGATTCCACAGAAGGAGGAGTAGTGGTGATGAATGGGACTGAATCATCATTAGTGTCAGAAGTAAAAGGCAAGCAAGACCAAGACCTTAATTTGCTTGAATTGAAGGCAAATGTTCATAAGCAAAAAGTATTAGCTTTTGAACCAGAGAGAGATGGCGTACTGAGATATCAAGGTAGATTATGTGTACCAATGGTGGATGGACTCCAAGAGAGGATCATGGATGAGGCTCATTTCTCCAGATATTCCATTCATTCGAGTTCCACAAAGATGTATCGTGACTTGAAAGAGGTATATTGGTGGAACAGTATGAAGAAGGGTATTGCAGAAATTGTTGCTAAGTGCCCAAATCGCCAACAAGTTAAAGTAGAGCACCAAAGGCCCGGTGGTTTGGCTCAGAATATCAAAATTCTGGAATGGAAATGGGAGATGATTAATATGGACTTCATCATAGGGTTACCAAGGTCTCGCAGGCAGCATGATTCTATTTGGGTGATTGTTGATAGAATGACAAAATCTGCCCACTTTTTGCCATTAAAGACTACTCATTCGGCAAAAGATTATGCTAAGTTGTATCTTCAAGAGGTGGTGAGACTTCATGGGGTTCTGCTCTCCGTTATTTCAGATAGAGGTGCTCAATTTACTGCACAGTTTTGGAAGTCATTCCAGAAAGGTTTGGGTTCAAAGGTGAACTTAAGTACTGCGTTTCATCCTCAGACAGATGGTCAAGCAGAGCGCACTATTCAGACCTTAGAGGATATGTTAAGGGCCTGTGTGATTGATTTCAAAGGTAATTGTGATGATCATCTATCCCTTATTGGAATTGCACACAATAATAGTTACCATTCTAGCATCCAGATGTCCCCATATGAAGCTCTTTATGGGAGAAGATGCAGATTTCCTATTGGATGATTTGAAGTTGGTGAAGCAAGGTTGATAGGACCAGATTTAGTTCATCAAGCTATGGAGAAGGTGAAAGTGATTCAAGAGAGGTTGGAAACGGCACAGAGTCATCAGAAATCCTACAGTGATGTTAGGAGAAGGGAGTTAGAGTTTGAAGTAGATGATTGGGTATATCTAAAAGTCTCACCCATGAAGGGTGTTATGAGGTTTGGTAAGAAGGGGAACTTAGTCCCCGATATATTGGGCCTTATCAAATATCCAAGAGGATTGACAATGTAGCTTATGAGTTGGAGCTACCACAAGAGTTAGCCGCAGTTCATCCGGTGTTTCACATCTCCATGTTGAAGAAGTGCACGGGCGATCCTTCATTAATCATACCAACTGAAAATATTAGGATCAAGGATAGCTTATCTTATGAGGAGATTCATGTTTAGATTCTAGATCGCCAAGTTCGCAAGTTGAGAACAAAAGAGGTAGCATCAGTCAAAGTCCTTTGGAGGAACCAATTTGTTGAAGAAGCTACTTGGGAAGCTGAACAAGATATGAAGAAGAGATATACACAAGTCTTTGAGTCCGGAGAAAATGCAGACCAAGGTACTAATTCTCTTCTTAGTACTCTTAAAATTATGAGTGAGCATGTTATTTGTTTGCAATTGCTTGTTGGGTGTTTGAACTTGATATTACACCCTTAGCCTAGTAAGAGTAATCTCATTCGAAGATGAATGTTCCAAGGGGGAGATATTGTAACATCTCACAATTTGAAATAACTAGGAAGAATATAATAATTGGAAATAGTCATTTTTGGAAAGAATGAAAATCTGGAAAAAATTGTTTAAGTTAGGAAAAGTTGAGTTTTGGACAACTTCAAATGGACATAACTCCTAGCTCAGGATGAGTTAGGTGTACTTCAAGAAATGGTTGGAATGATCTTTCCAACACCGCCGAGTTTGCGCGATTCTGAGTTCGTATGAGTAAGTTATGCCTTTTGGAATTTGGGTTGTTGGATTAAGGAAAGTCTAATCCAGATTTTGGGAGGATAATTTAGTCTTTTCCTTACCTAATTATTCTAATTCGTTTTTAGGATTTTAATTGGGGTAAATTCAGATTTTAGTCAGTTTTAGAAAAGTGAATCTCACGCTAGGGCTTGGAGAAGAGGAGAAAAGAGGAAAAAGGAGAAGAACGTTCAAGATTTGTCGATTTAGTCAAGGATAGCTTGTGGATTTCATCGGGGCTAATCCCTAAAAGGTATGTGAGATCACATAGCGTTGAGTTAGTTCACCCACGCGCCAACCATGATTCAATTCAGCTAATTTAAGTCTTTGAAAGATTAGAAATTGAGTTCTTGATGAACATTGTTGAAGTTTCGTTTGAATTTCTTGTGGGTTGTGTTGTTGATGGTTCTTTCGATTTAATTCATGTTTTCGGGTGTAATATCAGTTTGAATCTATCATATATTGAGGGTATAAATGATTCTAAGTATTTGGGTAAAGAACCATTGAAGTTTAGAAGGTTTAGAGGTGAAAAACAAGCAAGAAAAGTCGTCAAACACATGGGGAAGGGAATGGGGTGTCGCGCCAGCCAGCGCGCCCCAAAAGGGTCTCTGAAGTTTACCCCTTGGGGCGACGCGCCAGCCAGAGTGCCCCAACATATTCTCTGATGTTTGAGGGCTGGCTCCCCGCGCCTCTCATAGCGCCAAGGACGCCAGTTCTCCCCATTTGTTCCCTACCTTTTAGTACTTGTTCTTTAGCAATGTACCTATGTTTCTTAGTTAATTCCAACACTCTAAGGTACATCTAAATATCATGAAATCATCCATAAACATGAGATCATGAACCTTGAATCCATAGTCCAATTCAAGGAAAGTTAGGATCAAAGTCAAGAGAAGTTAAGAGTCAAGTCTAGAAGTTAAGAAGCAAGTCAAAGCAAAGTTTATAAAGTTTTCAAAAGTCTTTAACAAATGTTTTAACTTTATTTTAAGACTTAAGTTTCAAGTTAAGAAAAGAGTAAAGAGTAAAGAATTGAGTTCATTTCTCAAAATCTATAAGGGAACTAAGTATTCCCAAAGAGTTTATAAATGTATTCACATTTGAGCAAGCAAAGGGAACATCGATTCCAAGAGAGTTTTTAAGCTAAGTTTTGAGTAATTATCTCAAACCAAAGAAAGAAGTTTGTTTTAAAAAATACATGAGCTAAGTATATTTTGGGAGTAGTATTGAACACAGATAGGGGGATGCCAGTTCATATTAACTCAAGTCTTCATAAACCATATAGCCATCATGGGTAGTAAAGGATAATACTTTCTAGATGACTCATTAAGATGATTTTAGCATAGACTAGTGGATCCACTAAGTTAAGTGTTCTATATGATGGCAAAGTATATGACAGTTCTGGTAGCGTGGGCAAGACGTTGTATCACCACTTAGGCTCATAATGATTGTTGTCGGTTGGAGAATCTCCCACAGAAACTATATTACTTTGTTATATGAGTAAAGTTGAGTTTGCTATTGCATTTTCTTTAACGAACTAAGTTGCTTTTACTGTTTTATAAAGTTTTTCATAAATTGCATGTGTCTTATTGCTTTATTATGAGTTGAGCTATTCATGAGTTGATAAGAGCCAAGGTAAGTGTTTCTTTCCGAATCTTTTCAAGTCTGTGTATTGTTTAGCTTTCTAACTCGCATACTCGTACATTCAATGTATTGATTCCAATTGGCCTGTATCTTATTATAATGCAGACGCAGGTAATCATGATCAGTATCTAGCACCTTGTTGATCCAGTTTGAGCACTCAGAGTCGTGTGGTGAGCCTCATTGCTTACGAAGGGTCTCTTTTATTGCTTTGGTTTTATTATTAGTTCATGAGGATGTCGTGGGCCTGTCCCGACATCCATCTCAGTTGTTTAGAGACTTCATAGACAGACAGTCAGTTAGTTAAATTCATTTGTCACTACTTTATTATTGTCTTATGTTTTTGAGACTTGAGGTTGCCATTGTGGCTAAGTTTGAATGTTTATTTAAAAACATTCTAAGTTATTTCACAAGTCCCTTTTTAGACTATTTCTTGTATCCAAGTCTTTCGCTGAGTAAGTAAGCCAGGACAAGGGTTCTCTTGGGGCCATCAATGGTTCTCGAGTGCCAGCCACGTTCGGGTTGTAGGCTCGGGGCGTGACAAAAGTGAGCCAATTTTGTCATTCGGTCCACAATAACCTAGATTAAAAATGATGATGAGTGTGGGATAAACTCGTAATGAAATTCATATTCAAATACTCCCACTTACATGTAGTGATACTAATGTTTTGAGCCAAACCACCCACTTTATGATGCTTAACTTTCACTTGTTGATAGTCCAGACACTTAGCCACAAATTCTGAAATATCCTTCTTCATCCCATTCCACCAATAGACTTTCCACAAATCACAATACATCTTGGTGGCTCCCGGGTGAATAGAATACTGAAAACTGTGAGCTTCTATCGAAATTTGATTTCTCAACTCATCAACATTTAGAACACATAATCGTTGTTGTATCGAAGGAATCCATCTCCTCCTTTTGAGATTTTTTGGGTGGATTGGAGAGGTATCCTATAAGTTTTCCTTGCCACCTAGCTTGTCAGTTGTCCACCCATTTTTTACATGTCTATATGCTTCAAAAGTATGTTTCAGATTAGTCCCATGTGATTTCACTCGATTCAGTGGTGTTGGATCCAGATTTGTCATTTGTGGAGAAGCTTATAGCTATCTTGGATAGGTAGGTTCAAAAGCTCAGGAAAAAGGGGATTGCTTCAGTAAAGGTGTAGTGGAAGAACCGTTCAGTTGGAGAGGTGACTAGGGAGATAGATCCTGACATGCGTGCCAGATATCCTCAGTTTTTTAAGCTCCATGTACTTCCATTTATTTTATGTTCGAGGATGAATATAGTTTTTAGTGGTGGATAATGTAATGACCCAAAAGGTAATTTTTGGAAATTTCCATAAAATAATTGTTTTAACCCTCTGGATAGTTGCCCCGAGTAATTTCCGATCAGTTTTTGAAGTTGATTTTGAAATTTAATTGAAAAGTTGTAGTTTTTAGAAGTTTTGATATTTGAAAGGTTTAAAGTTTTTAAAATAGATTTTAGGTAACAATTACAATTTTGAATCTTATAATGGAATTTTATTAAAACCATCAGCTTTGGAATGTGGAATTTAGTCTAGGAGTGTTGTTGTCATCTGTTTAGGAGTTGTTTCATGGAATTGTGGCCTTGAGTTGGAAGTTTCAGTGAATTTAGACCTTGAGTTGACGTTGGTCAATATTCAGAGTTCAGATGCTTAGATTGGATTTCCGACGATCCCGTTGGTTTTATGGGATGATTTTCGGTCTAGAAGAGGTTTTGGTTGAATATTTTGAGGTTTTGAGGGCTATTTGGTATTTTGAGCCTAATGTTAGTTTATTGCCACTTTCAGGGGTTTTGGGTCAAGGAGACCTCGAATCTGTATTTCAATGGTTCCATCTAGTCTGAAACGTTGAGTTTAGTTGTGTACTCGGGGTTTCGAACGAATCCTGAGAGTCCATTTATGATTTTTTGTGCATTGTGTGACATGTTGTTTTGTTGATTCTGGAGTCTGTTCAGTTTTTCATCGCGATCGTATGATGTTTAATTCCATGTGCATCACGATTGCGTGGTGGGGCATCGCAACCACATAGTTATTGGGGTCTGATCATCGTGATCATGTGGCCTTGCATTGCCATCTTGATGGTCAATTAATGAGTTTACCTGTGTTACTCATCACGATCGCGAGATGTGGGGACCGCCATCATGATGAAGAGTAATTGAGGCCTAGGCATAATGTTTCCAAAATCGAGGTTCTTTCCCTATTTTCTCCATTTTTGAACTTTCGGAGCCTTGTATTTTCGAGATTCTTCATTTGGGTAACGATTTCTAATTTCCCACCTCTTTTATCCACTAATTACTTCATAATTTTACTGTTTAAACTTGGGTTTTGATTCCAAACATTGAAGGGTTTTGAAAAGGTTAATGTTTTTTATAAGATGGTGATTTATGCTTGATTTTAACTCCATCTTTAAATGGTTTTCACCGATGACTTACAAATTCTCTGGGTACTAGATTTTTGTACAAAATTTCATATTTAACGCTCATTTTCAGAAATGGATTTTTGGGTCAATTTGATCCCATTTTCCATAATATTTGATATGGTTGTTGTTAGCTCTGAATTCTTATTCTGATTACTTATTTGATTAGCTTGTGTTGATTTTGCGGCCCAACGGAAAGGGAAAGCTCAAGTTTCTGAGTGATTGGTTGATTTCTTGAGGCAAGTAGACTTCTTGACTTTTGTTAAGTATATAAAAGCTTGTATTTCCTTATTGTATGTGTTAGGGAGTAATGAAATGTAGGATTGATAATTGTGATTATATGTTCTTATTGAGTATCTTAAATGATAAAAACGAGAAATAGAAAAGACAACTTGATGATATACTGATATGTCATTTGTTGTTGATGATTTGAAAGATTATATTGATTCATTATTGATGATGTATAATGATTGTGTTGATATGGATTGTGTATTGATATGAAATTCATCATATTCTCATGAATTGTGTGAACATAAGTATGTGCATTGGTTCTAAAATATCGTGATGAGACCTATTGTGATAATTATGCTGATGGAAAATGGTTCTGGTGATGTCATTGAGAAATAGTTTTTGCGATATCAATGGAAAATGATTCTGGTGATTGATGAATACGCCAAAGGGAGATGATTTCGACGGATAAATGGACATTATGTGTCCCCATGGGTTCCATCCTTAGTCGCACCTGATGTGTATTGTAGGACATACATGCATCATTGTACTTGACATTTCATTGCATTGCATTGCACGACATTATCATATGTGAATCTTGTGAGTGCTTGTTATGGAACTTGTAGTTGATTACTATGAATATATGTGTAGATTATCTGTATATGTTGAAGTGTTATTATAAGTGTTATGTCTTGTATATGTACAAACTGTTAGATTAGGTTGATTCTGTGTAGGCTGTAGTTGTGCAGGTTCAGTTCGAGTATTGAGAATACATATTTTCTATATTGTTTTACCTCAAGTTAGTGGTTTGTTTGGTGAGTACAGTGTTATTTGGTACTCATTTCCTTTCTTCTACACTTAGGTCGGTTACGAGCCCGAATCAACGTGATTCTCTTTCTTCTTTTCTACGTCTGAGGCTTATCAAGGAGAGTCATGAGGTAGCTTCTTTTCATCTCGACAGTTTCCTTTTACTCTTTTATTATGTTCTTGTTCTATTCTAGAAACAAAAACATTTAGACTTATACTTTTTGATTATGTTGTAATACTTAGAGGCTTGTGCACGTGACAACCAAATTCTGAGCTTATTTTCAAGTTATGTTATGGTTTCCACATTATTGAGTTTATGATAGTCTTTAATCATGTTTTACTTCCGTATTTATCTTTTATGTTGGGATTAGGTTGACTTGTCTTGGTAGGATAAGATAAGTGTCATCATGTCCATTTTTGAGTCGTGACATTCATACTACCCGTTGGCTATATATAAAGGGGTTTCCTCACATTTTAAAACTATGAATTTTCTATTCTTGTTCTTCTTCTTAAAGAACTCAGGTGTGATATGCAGTCGTTGAGTGAGTTTGAAGTTCACTGGAATTTGGATACTCCCTCACTTGAATATTAAGTATTTAATATCCCAAAAACACTCAATTTAGACTTATATATATACACACACTAAATTAAAAGCATGAAGGTCCTTAGAAATGTTGTTTGAACTTTTTACCCTTCATTTAAAGACTTCGCTTTAGACACAACCGTCTTTTCACCATATTCCTCAAAAAAAATGTCTTTTAATAATTATTCTAATATTTAAAATTTTGAAATTAACTAAAGTTATAACTATTGTAAATTTTTACTTATTTGCAATAGTTAAGAACTCCTAATATTTAGTATCTTAAAATTGAATAAAATTCTAACTTTGATCTTAAAAATATTATTATTTAATACGTGTTCTTTGGAGTAAAGAACTCCTTCACTATCCTTATACAGATTTAGGAGTAATTTTAGGTTAGGACTATTATTATTATTATTGTTATAAAAAAATTGGTCTAGGAGTCCTTTATGTTTCTTTCTTTTCTCAGTTTTACGAGTCCTTTTTTAGGTTTACATATACTTTTTGTTGGTTATACAATTTTGTGCTTTAAAATACTAAATATTAAGAGTTCTTACCTCATATAAATAAGTAAAGATTTTTTTCTTTTTCTTCTTACTCTAATTTTGATTCAAGTGGTCTTCTTGCATTCATTATCACAATTCTTAACGTTCAAGTGGTCTTCTTGCATTCTTTATCACTATTCTTTATTTTTGTCTTTCTTTATTTCTTTTAGTTAATAAATTTCAAAATTATATGAATTATATATACATAATCAATAATTGACAATGAATTCTCCCATGTTGATAGCTTCTCGTGTTTTTCTTTCAGTTGAAAATAAGCTCTTATATGATTTGTATTAAGATTTTAAAACTCCTCTATTATAATAACCAAAGAGCACTACGGTAGTTTTTTAACTTTTATTTGTAGTTGAAATTTAACCAATAATACTAATTTTTATTTGTAGTTGATGCTTTACCAATAATATTAAGAAAGAATTGGACTCCTATATGATTTGTATGAAAACATATATGATTTATGTAAGATAATAAAGAAATATAATAAATATAACTAAATAATAATCGGAGGAAAATGGTGAATTAGAAGAATTCAAGGGGGGGTTACACATTAAAATCATTAGTTTTATAATTGATTTGACATATTTCATTGATTGTAGAATTCAAATAAAAGGGACCTGCTTTGACGTAGTATTGATCTTAAAGTACAATTAGAATAAGAATCATTTATGTAAATTGTAAGAATCATTATTTGAAGGCCAAATACATAAACAGATCCCTAAACTTGTTGGGTTTTTCCCCTCAGGTACCTCAACTACGTCATTTTCCTATTGAATCATTGAATCACCCATAATTTGTTCCTTTTAAACACCGTTGGCTGATGTGGAACTAAACATGATCTCACGTCGTTTGAGCGCGTGAAGACACTTTAAAGTCGTTGATGTGGATCCTGAACCACCCACCAACGATCTTCTTCCCCCTTTTAACCCTAATTTATCCCCTTCTTCTCTTATTTCTCCTCTTTTGTTTCTCTTCATCTTTATTTCTCCTCTTTAGCTCATTAGAATATATCTCTTCTTCATTGATTTCTTCTTAATCATCAAGTTCCAATGTTGAAGTTATCTTCTTCATCGATTTCTTCTTCTTCAACCGCAAATGTGCTATGTCAATGTGGGGTCGTTGTGGAAATGAAAACCTCATGGACGCAATCCAACCCTGGATGTAGGTTCCTTTGTTGCAAAATTTCATTGGTAATTCATTTTTATTGTCCAATATAGTAAAGAATCACCTTATTTGTAATTCAATTTTTTCTTTAATTTTGTAGGCACGAGGTGGATGTGGATATTTCCGATGGTATGATGACGAAATGTCGGCTCAAGCTAGGAGGGTGATATGGGGTTTGTTGAAAAGAGTCAAAACATATGAATTGGAGAGGAATCGATCAAGAAAAGTATGGATGATATGCATTGTTGTAGGGGTGATATTGGCTACTTGGATTTATGTAACAAAATGATCTTAGTTGGTTCATTTGTCTTCTACTAGATTCCTTCATAAAAGTATGTATGATAGATTGTAGTGTTCTCTATGAGGGGAATTTTGATCGGCTTTTCTATTGTAAATGCCTTCAATTGTGTTCTTATTGTAATGATTTTGATTGAAGGAATGAAGACAAATTGTGTGTTAGTCTCATTTTTTTTCTAATGTGTTCAAATGACTTGAAGTAAAACATAATTATTCTCAAACATTTTCACTATCAATTGGACTAATGAGTTCTGGAACAATATAAATCAACACAGTAAAAATTGATCATTCATACCATTAATTTGCTCTAGTGAGCTCCAATCAAACATACCAATCCATGACAACTAATTAAAAGCAGTACCACAAATAAGTTAATGTACTTAAAAGACACCAAAATACATTTCAAAGCAGTCAATACAAGTTTTTGATGCTGATTACAAATCCAAAAAGTGACTTTTCTGCTGAAATTAGGCATTCATTGGTGCACTAGATGTTCCACGTTTGTTTTTTCTTGACTGACTGATACGTTGCAACTGTGAAGCTGTGACAGCATCTCCACCATTCCACTTGAGTCCTCGAGGCTTATAGCCAATATCAATATTTGTTAGAGTTGCATCCTTGTAAACTCCCGGAGTGATAACTCTTTCTCCTGAAGTACCAGGCTGCATAGAAATGTCTTAAAATGAGACCTTATATAGTAAAGTAAGAAATGAACAAAATTATGTATACACTTACATTAAAGGTTTGACTACAACTTGCATTTGTATAGATGCCAAATTCTACAATTTTGGTCCTCTTTTGTCTTCCTATTGATATTGAATCTCCCATAGCCCTTGGTTGATCAGGTTGCTGACTTGATACACCTCCAGTGCCTTTATCAATGCCTCTACAAATGCCTCTAACAGTGCCTCTGTCAATGCCTCTGCCAGTGCCTCTACCAGTGCCTCTCCCAATGCCTCTGCTTGTTCCTCTACTTGTGCCTCTACCAGTGCCTCTCCCAGTGTCTCTGCTTGTGCCTCTACATGTACCTCTACCTCTGCCTCTGCTTTTAGCAGGTTGTTGCTCTCTTCTAACAGCTGAAGAATCAAAACACATAGAACTTCCTCGATGACTGAATACTGGTGGCTGACTTGAGCTTGATGGTCTGCTAAAAAGTGGTGGCTGGCTTGAGCTTGATGGTTGTCTAAATAGTGGTGGCTGGCTTGAGCTTGATGGTTGGCTAAACACTGGTGGCTGGCTTGAGCTTGGTTGCCTGCTTGGGTAGCCTCCAGGTTGTCCCATCCCAGCCTATTAATACAGTAATAATAATTGATTACTCTAAATAATTAAAGCTAATTGTAGATGAATTAGATGAGAATAATAACTTACCATGGTTGGACAAGCTTTTTTGTTGTGGCCTACTTGATGACACAAGGAGCAAGTCATTTTTACTCCTCTTTTGGACAACTTTCCATACTTTTTCCTAGGCTCATTCTTTGCCTTTCTTCTGCACTTTGGTGGCCTACCAGGCATGACTTTTGGTTCAGGAGGTTCAATCACTACACCACTAGTGTGAGGCCACATTTTCATGTTTGGTTTTGGCTGTAGAAAGTGGTTATAAGCCTTCAAGAAAGTCTCTTTCCTAAACCAATGCACTACTTCATATTCAGGTTCTATGTCTTTGTGCTGATATGCAAGCACAGCATGTCGACATGGTATGCTCCTCAATTGTCATGTTCTACATGTACATGTCTTCTTCCTTATATCAACAATATGCCTGTACTGACCATCTAAGATTTCATACCCAATATCACCATTGAATCTAACTTCACAAAGTCTAGCAAGATCTTTGTTCTCTTCAAGTACTAGTCTAGCCATAAGAGAGATATCTGAGATCCAAGTTTCAGCAAATTGCCTCATTGCAATATTTATGTCCATTATCTTGTGCCTAATCTCCTCTAACATAGTTATGATAGCCTTATGTCTAGCAGCTAGTATCCAAGAATTAAAAGTTTCACACATATTGTTTTCAACAATGTCACACTTAGAATGCTCCTTAAAATATGTTTTGCACCAAGTAGTTTTTTCATAATGCAACAAGTCCCCACAAATTTTATTACCTAATTTGTTGAGTTTATCCATCTCATCTTCAAATTTCACTTCAAAACTTGACTTAGCACATCTCCGGAACTGGTTCCTTCTTTCTTCACCACTCCATATTTGATTCCAGTTGGACCAGATATGTCTAGTACACCTTCTTTGCTCACTATCTGGTAGCAACTCACATAAAGCTGGTACAAGACCCTATGTAAACAATTATAGCACAAAAATTAAAAGTATTAACAACACAAGAAATTAAAAAATAAGAGATCAAGCTACAATACAAAAACTATCTAACCTTCTGCATATCTGACATAACAGTCAGTCCATGTCCTGTGCCTAAGTTCAGATCTTCTATCAAGTAGTTGAGGAAAAAACTCCAACTATGTTTTGTCTTTGTGTCAACAATAGCCCATGCAATTGGAAACATCTGTTGATTTCCATTTCTACCAACAGCAACCAACAATTCACCCTTGCAAGAACCCTTTAGAAAGCATCCATCAAAACCAATAATTTTTCTGCATCCTTCCAACCAGCCTCTCTTCAATGCATCAAAGCAAACATAGAAGTAAACAAACAAAGTTTTTCTTGGCTGAGACTCTCTATATGTCCTCACCTAACATGAAGTACCAGGATTAGTATGTTTAATCATGTATGCATAATCACACAATCTTGAAAATTCCATCTTCCAATCACCTAAGAAGTCCTTGATAACCTTATTTTTTGCCCTATGACAAACAGTTCTTCCAACATACAACCCAAATTTTTTTCTCACCAATTCCTGAATTTCCCACAATTTTATATATGGTTGACATGTAATTTCATCTTTGAACTTTTCTGCAACAAACTTAGATGTGCTCAACTTGTTTTTGGTTGATTGAGGACATACATGCACATGATAATAATTTTTTACAGTAAAATCACCAGAATCCTTATCTATACTAGCAAACAACAACCATTTACATTTCTTGTCCTCACACTTAACTCTAACCCTTTTTTTGTCATTAGGCTTCAACTTTAACCCAATTTTATATTCACAAGAATAGTCTGCAACAACTTTTCTAAATTGTTCAGCACTTTCAAATACCATACCAAGCTCAAAAATAGCTAGAACACAATCAGGATCAAATCTTACCTTTTTACTTTTTCTTCTTGCTGGTAAATCAACACCCCTCACAAAATCTGAATCCAATTCATCCCTACTGTCATCACTATCCAATTATGAGCTATCTATATATTGTTGATCACCCCCTAGTCTTCCAGTATATCTAGCAGCCTTATTCCTTCCTATGTCTTCAAATCCTCTATCAATACCAGCTGTTCCAAGCTTTATTTCCTCAGTTTGAATAGGATTTTTTTTTCCACTTTGTTTCTCCTTTCATTTCTAAGAGATCTCAATTCTTCATCAACCTCAGAGTCATCCTCATCAGGAATAGCATCCTCTTGAGAGTCAACACTGCTTTCTTGATTTGATCCAGCCCATTCCTCTTCTAGATCTGATATATCCCCTGGCTCAACTTCCACATTAACATTTTCAGATTCAGCCTCATAATTCAACCCTTCACTTGCAGTCACATTTATATCTTGTAAGTCTTCTTCACCAACCACATTGCTATTTTTTTCAACTACAGGCTCACAAAGCAAACCAGTTGTGCTGACCACTTCTACATCATCCACCACATGCTTTACATAAATGTATAAAAAGTCACCATCCTTTAGGTCTTTGATAAGATTTAGTAAAGTGAAATCAGTTTCCACCTCAATAAAGTCATTTTTGTGGGGTCTTTAACACAAAACCCACCAACAGTAATATACCCCAATTGTTTAGTGTAAAAAAGTAATTCGATTATTGAGAAGTGGTCCTTGTCGATATTAAAATACTCCACCTCGTTTTCCCCTTTATAAGTAATTTCATTTTTGTCCTGAATAAACTTACCACCATGATGAAAACGAGTTATAATAATGGTGTCCATAAGATTCCCTGAAACAAGGCGAAGGCCCCAAAAATTTCTGACATGTTATGAACAATAAGAACCAAAAAAACCCTAACTTTTCCAGATATTAACAGCACACCATCACATTAATACTAAAATGCAGTTATATCACGTTACAACAATAAAAATTACATAGAAATTAGGGAATGAACTTACCTCACACCCATCAACTCGAAAATCGTGATTGAACTCCAAAATCGTCTGCAATCTTCGATGATTCGTTCAACAAAACACTCGAAATCACTTCAAAATCTGAGAATTTTAGTTGTAAATGTCACTGAAAGAAGAACAATTGTTAGGGTTTTCTCGTCTAGCATTGGGTTAGAATTTGTTTTGGGGGGAAATGAAGGGGCTTTAGTTTTTAGGTTTGAGGATTTGAATATGTGGCGCTGACGTGTAATTGGGGTTGAAGTATGATTGGTTGGAATTTTCACGTGGGGAAGGTTGATCTCACGCGCACATCAGCCAAAAAATATTTGTTGAAGTTTGGTTCCACATCAACCAACAGTGTTTAAAAGGAACAAATTATGGATGGTTCAATGATTCAATAGGAAAATGGCGTAGTTGAGGTACCTGAGGGGAAAAACCCAACAAGTTTAGGGATATGTTTATGAAAACACATAGCTCAAACTCCTTCACTCTTCTAACTCATAAGTCATAAGAGAGTTCAAATTCTCAATGGAAATAATTTCTTTTTATTTGGTATCATATATTTCACTATTGAACACTACTGTTCCATTACAAGATTTTTATATCAAGTTTTACTTCTTTATGAACCTAACGTGCAGGAGAAAGACGCGATGACACAATGTTTTTGAAAATTTAATTTGGTAAGTTATTAACTCATCTATATATATTTTTAGTTGAAGTAAAAATATTTATCTTGCCCCCATTTCCCCCCTTCTAATTACTTAGACCATCTCCAACCCACCTCTATTTTACTCTCCATACTCTATATTTGGAGAGTAAAATAGAGAATGGGCACTCCAACCCACCTCCAAATCATCCTCTATTCTTCAAATTTAGAGAGTTGAATAGTAGTTCTCCAAATTTGGAGAACTACTATTCAACTCTCTAAATTTGAAGAATAGAGGATGATTTGGAGGTGGGTTGGAGTGCCCATTCTCTATTTTACTCTCCAAATATAGAGTATGGAGAGTAAAATAGAGGTGGGTTGGAGATGGTCTAAGTAATTAGAAGGGGGGAAATGGGGGCAAGATAAATATTTTTACTTCAACAATATAATACATACATAATAATTTAAATTCAAGGTAAAATACAATACATAACATAATAATTAATTGATCACAACAATAATTTAGAAATCCGGTAGGTCGTTTCCAGACTTAGCACTATTCGGGAAAAAATTAGGATATGATTCCGAGAATTGTTGTGATTGTGGTTGTGACTACAGTTGTGATGGTATATGACATGAGTTATTATTTAGCTGATGGTATATATCCTAAATGGTCTACAATTGTTCAAACTATTCGTGATCCTCATTCCCAACAAAAGAAATATTTCGCGATGAAACAAGAATCGTGCCGAAAAGATGTTGAACGTGCATTCGGAGTTTTACAATCACGTTTTGCAATTATTGCAGGACTGTCACGTTTTTGAAGAAAGGAAGTGCTACATGATATAATGACTACATGTGTTATACTGCACAACATGATAATTGAGGATGAACGTGATCTCAATGCACCAATTCAAGATGCCGTAGAGGCTCCAACTCCAACTATAGAAATGGTGATAGATGAAAATCTCCGATTCGAACAATTTTTAGCTAGACATAAAAAAATTGAGGACAAAAATGCTCATTTTGAACTCCGTAATGCATTAATAGAGTATTTATGTGAGCAACGTAATAATTTTGAAAATTGAGTGTTTATGTAATTGTATGTCGCTTTTATTTGAATTTGTCCTCTAATTTATGTATTATATTATATTTTCTTGCAATTTATGTTATTTAAAATTTTAGAATAAAAAATAATTTTATATCACATTAAAAATTATATAAAGTAATTATTTGGGAAAAAAGAAATAAAGGATTTATATTATGAAATAAGAAAATAAGAATGAAAACTAAAAATAATAATATAATATTGAGGAGAGAGAAAAAGATTCCTTTTTAGAGAGTAAAAAATAGAGAATTGGGTTGGAGTTAGTTGTCTGAAAAAATAGAGAACTCTATATTTGGAGGGTAAAATAGAGGAATGGGTTGGAGATGCCCTTATTTATTGTTTGAGATTTATAAAGACTGCAGATTTTATCCATGTATAATATATGAGTTCCTTTGATGATGCCACAATAAAGAAAGTTGGATGTTTAACACATGTTGCCGGTTTACCTAACTTTAATAGGTTGGGCTTAAATTGTGCATATGTGTTTGAGGGATTAATTACTTGGTTGAATCTTTTAAAAAAAATATTACTTATTTTAAATATATTCTCTAATTATTATTATTTTTAGCAATATATAACAATATTATGTATTTTATTGAATTTATGTCTTTCACTCTTTCCAGATTAGCCATGTTTTTTTTTACACACTTCACCAATAACTTACAAAATGAATTAAACTTGAATAAAAAATATATTACACATATTAAAGTTGAATTGAAAGAAAATTAAACATGAATGCAAGATGTAGCAAACGAAAGAACAATATGTAATTTGTAAACTGAATAAAACTTGTATCAACAATAAATTAGACAAGAAATATAATCGTAACAAATGAAGAGACAACTAGGGGTGTACATGACCGGGTTGGTTCAGGTTTTTCAAATATCAAATCAAATCATTTGTGTAAAAAATATTAATTTATAAACCAAACCAAACTAAT